GCATGAGCTCCCGCGCCCCGCGCGGCTTCCTATGCTCCTAATTTCTTGAAGTTTAATCTCAGCATTCAGAGGCATGTAGGAGAAGGTGATCTATACTCTCTCTGCAGTTCCATTTTTTTCCAGCTCAAATGCAGATGGCTTCTCAAAGGGCCTGCATTTTGCCTCTTCCCTCTAGATTGGGCTCTGAAGGGTGAAATCTGAGCAGAAAATCTTCAGTTGTTCTACCCCCTGAAAATGACTGCTCACAGCTCAAACGCAGATGGCTTCTCTCTGGGAATGTAAATTAGTCCAGCCACTGTGGAAAACAATATGGAGGTTCCTCAAAGACCTACAAATAGAACCACCATATGATCCAGCAATTCCACTCTTAGGTATCTGTCCAAAGGACAGGAGAACACTAAGTTGGAAAAGTGCTTGCACATCTATGTTTATTGAGGCATTACTCACAACTGCTAAGATATGGAACCAACCCTAATGTCCAAGAACAGATGAATGGATTGAAAAAGTATGGCATGGGGACTAGCAGTTGGCGTAATGGCTATGTCACTGGATTCCCATGTAGTTGACCACGGTTAGAGTCCTGGACCTGGTGGCTTAAACTCATGTCGGGCGCGTGTGCATTTGTGCCCAAGATTCCGAGAGGAGAATGGAGGACAAGGGATTGCAGCGTGGCCATCAACCCCTTGGGGGTGATTTCTCCCTTTCTATCTCTCTGTCTCTGTCTGTCTTTCTGGCGAGCACACACACCCTATAGCGAAAACCACTTCCAAAAAAAAAAAAAGAAAAAGTGTGGCACATACACACTATGGAATACTACTCAGCCATAATAAAAAACAAAAAACAAACAAACAATAAAAACCAAGACAACCCTGGCATTTGATAGATAGAAAGTGGACAAATACGGAAGATTTAATGCTGAGTAAAGCCAGCCTGGCTGTGAAAGAGACAGTGTATGTCTCCTCTTACTATATACTGACTGTTTACACTCTACAGCAGAAACTGAAAGATTAGAGGATACAGAAGCATGAAAAATGGTTACTGATATTGAAGACAGTGTAGGAAGAGAATGGGAGATGGAGGAGAGTGAGAGGAAAGGAATCAAGGAGAAAAATAGAGAGGTAAGACATTTAAGGGGCACAGAAATGGAGGATAGTCTGATGATAACATGTATGATATCTTCAACTGGACTGGTGTGAAGTGTATTCAAACTGGGTAATTCGTTTTACAAGCTGTAGTAATGTACAATGATGGAATATATAAAATAATAAGAAGAAAGAAAAATATTTCTATCAAAAATCACTTGAGGGACCAGCAGTTAGCGTAATGGCTATGTCACTGGACTCCCACACAGTAGACTGCAGTTCGCGTCCTGGACCTGGTGGCTTAAAACTCACACTGGGTGCGTGTGCGTGCATGCCCAAGATCCCGAGAGGAGAATGGAGGAGAAGGGATTGCGGCGTGGCCATCCCTCCGGGGGGTGATTTCTCACTTTCTGTCTCTATTTCTCTCCCTGTCTGTCTGGCGAGCGCACGTGCCCTGTAGCGAAAACCTCTCAAAAAAAAGAAAAAAAAAAAAAAAAAAGGCCTGTTTGTAACTGTTTACTTGTGTATCTCATCTGATACAGGACAAATGGGCAGAATATAAGATCACTTACAGCTAAACTAATGGGCTTCTGCAATTTCACCATCAGTTAGAAGTAAGCATAAATTGCATATGAATTCATATTAAAATGATAAATACTTTGGTATTTAAAATTGTGTTTATATGATTTTTTTCTCTTTTAAAACAGTATAAAATGTTAAGACAAATATACAAAAATATTTGCAAAATAAACTTACTGGAGAACAACAACAAAAATTTAAATCCTGGTAGGCCCAGCAGGTAGCATGGTGGTTAAGGTGCTGGACTCCCACATGGTCAACTGTGGTCTGAGTTATCCTGAACACCCTGACTACACCCCCAATTCTGGCTTGCTGGAAGGCTGGGGGAGGATCATGGTGTGGCAAGACCCATTGGGAGATGTGGTGTGTGTCTTTCAATAAACAAACAGATTTTTAGAAAATTAATCATGTAAGAGGCAACTAAAAAGGCTGGGTGAAAAAGGAACTAAAAAATGTGATGGGTTCCATGACAGTACCCGAACCCCTAAGTAACACACCTATGAAGAGAGAAAGTGGAAGAAAGCCTGTATTTGAGGGGCTCCTTTGAGTAATTCCTTTGGTCACATTTCTGCCAAAGCCCCTTTACTCCCAAGAATACAAATCTTTCTCTGTTACTCTTGTTCATGTAGGTATCCTAAGACAGAATTTTCTCAGATGCTCCAAAGTCCTCATT